GTCAATTAAAACCCATCGAGGGTCAATTAAAACCCATCGAGGGTCAATTAAAACTCAATGAGAGTCAAATAAAACCCATCGAGGGTCAATTAAAACCCATCGAGGGTCAATTAAAACTCAATGAGAGTCAAATAAAACCCATCGAGGGTCAATTAAAACCCATCGAGGGTCAATTAAAACCCATCGAGGGTCAATTAAAACCCATAAAGGGTCAATTAAAACCCATCAAGGGTCAATTAAAACTCATCAAGGGTCAATTAAAACTCAATGAGAGTCAATTAAAACTCATTGAGGGTCAATTAAAACCCATAAAGGGTCAATTAAAACCCATAAAGGGTCAATTAAAACCCATCGAGGGTCAATTCAAACTCAATGAGAGTCAATTAAAACTCATTGAGAGTCAATTAAAACCCAACAAGGGTCAATTAAAACCCATCGAGGGTCAATTAAAACTCAATGAGAGTCAATTAAAACCCAATAAGGGTCAATTAAAACCCATCAAGTGTCAATTAAAACCCATCAAGGGTCAATTAAAACCCATCGAGGGTCAATTAAAACCCATCGAGGGTCAATTAAAACCCATCATAAGGCAATTAAAACCCAATAAGGGTCAATTAAAACCCACCGAGGGGCAATTAAAACCCAATGAGAGTCAATTAAAACTCAATGAGAGTCGATTAAACCCCATTGAGGGTCAATTAAAACCCATCGAGGGTCAATTAAAACTCATCAAAGGTCAATTAAAACTCAATGAGAGTCAATTAAAACCCATCGAGGGTCAATTAAAACCCATGAAGGGTCAATTAAAACCCATAAAGGGTAAATTAAAACCCATCGAGGGTCAATTAAAACCCATAAAGGGTCAATTAAAACCCATCGAGGGTCAATTAAAACCCATCGAGGGTCAATTAAAACTCAATGAGGGTCAATTAAAACCCAATAAGGGTCAATTAAAACCTATAAAGGGTCAATTAAAACCCATCGAGGGTCAATTAAAATTCAATGAGAGTCAATTAAAACTCAATGAGAGTCAATTAAAACCCATCGAGGGTCAATTAAAACTCAATGAGGGTCAATTAAAACCCAATAAGGGTCAATTAAAACCTATAAAGGGTCAATTAAAACCCATCGAAGGTCAATTAAAACCCAATATGGGTCAATTAAAACCCATGAAGGGTCAATTAAAACTCAATGAGAGTCAATTAAAACCCATCGAAGGTCAATTAAAACCCAATGAGAGTCAATTAAAACCCATCAAGGGTCAATTCAAACCCAATAAGGGTCAATTAAAACTCAATGAGAGTCAATTAAACCCCAAGAAGGGTCAATTAAAACCCAACAAGGGTCAATCAAAACCCCTTAAAGGGTCACCTGGGACCCCTCCCAAAGGTCACCTCGAACCCACCGAGGCCCCGTAGAACCCACCGAAACCCCCCCCAAAAAAACCCACTGAAAGTCCCCCAAATCCCCCCAAACCCCCCCAAATCCCACCCCCAACCCCCTCCCCCCTGCGCCCAGGGCGAAATGATCGACCGCATCGAGTACAACGTGGAGCACTCGGTCGACTACGTCGAGCGCGCCGTGTCCGACACCAAAAAAGCCGTAAAGTACCAGAGCAAAGCCCGGAGGGTGAGTTTGGGGAGGGGGGGATTTGGGGGGGAAGGGGGGGCTTGGGGGGGCGCTGGGGGTGTGGGGGTGGTAACTCTCCCTTCTTCTCTCTCTTCCCCTCCCCCCCTCCCCCTCCCCCCCTCCCCCCTCGCTGCCGGGACGTCCAAATTTTGGGGCT